TGAACCCTGTTGTCCATATAACTCCATGCTTACCAGGGCTCATGTCGAAATCGAGATACGCCCTTACGTCAGAGGAGCGACGATATTTTGGATCTTATTGTTTTACCGTTTTTCTTAAATTTAATTGATTTTATGGGTTATTTGATCTTATAACTGTATTGCTTTATTTTGCATGCTCCATGCGCGAAGGGCCGACATACTCCACTTTTCTTTTTAAAAAAAAAATGACTTCAGTCCAAAAAAACTATCACTATGACTTCATTTCAAATGAATCACTTCTTCTTTTCTTCCCCCTTTTTCCCTCTACTCCTTTTGGCCTAGAATGATAATTTTCTAGCTGCTTGGCCTTTTTCTCGAATAACTAGGGAAACACCACGAACATTAAGGAAGAAAAGCCCCCGTCTCGAGAGAAAATCCCGTGGAGACGCTTAGATAAGAATGTAATCGCTACATTTTTGGGTCAACTACTTCCTGCTCTTCCTAAGCATGATTCTGTGCTCTGACGTCATCAATAATTGAGTCCTACCCTCATCCCGCTCCGGATTGGATTCCACTTCGCTTCATTTCTCTTGAGGGGTGGGTGGGTGCAAGAAAATTGGGTGCATTTCAATATTGGAGAGGGTTTGACGGGTGTTGTGAGAAGATTCAGTCAGCTTTTTAAATGCAGAAACACGATCAACGACACAGTAAGTCTCACTGAATGTCATTAGAATGCCTACGTAAGGAGAGAATTGCCGCACGGTGGATCGAGTCAATTATTGGAGAGGTCGGATAAAATTTGGAAAGTTCTAAAAGCTTTTAACAGCGTTATAACACTGCTGTGCTAAAGGAAAACGCCGCATAAACCTTCAGGTGAAAAATTTGTGAATAATTTTCCTCCAATTTTTTAATTTTGTCGGCAATTTCACCTATAGTTCTTGAAAATTTCAAGGAAGAATATTCACAACCTTCTTCAAATATAACTGTTTTCTGAGAAGAAATTTGGCAACCCTTGAATGTTCATGCGGCGTTTTTCCTTAGCTCAGCAAAACACATCGAGGTTTTACAAGTGGTTCTGTTGGTTTCCTCGTGAAATTTTCTATCAAAGGCACCCCTTTGCATTAAAATATGACGAATTAACGTTAAAATTTGCAGGTTTTAGTCTGAAATATCAAGTTTGACTTCTCCCATTGGCTTTCTTTCTTTCTTTCTATCTTTCTTTCTGGAAGAGGAAAGGTTAAAAACAGTGTCATGAGGGACCAAATTTCATTTAAAAAAATTTTCCAAATCACGAGAGATGTTTCTATTTTTTCTCGAACTATTATGCATGAGAGCATGGTTTACTTTCCTAGTGTTACATTCATCGTCCTGATTTTCCGAGGAGTTTTTTCAACGTTTTGTTTCAAATTTCTAAGAGAGGCAGGCTTACCCCTTGAGAGCTTTGCCTAAGTTTTTACATGTCACAAAATAATGCGGTTTAAACTGATAGAGGGAACCGGCTGCGGCGCACAATGCATCGAGTCAATGGGGAGGTCGGACAAAATTTGGAAACTTTAAAAGCTCATAACTCAATTTATACAAAGTTTTGAGGTTCTAAAAGTGGTTCTATTGATACCTCGTGAAATCTGCTTCGAGACGCATCCCTTGAAATTTGAAATGTGACGGATTGCGACACCAAAATTTACAGTTTTAGTCAAAAATTTCATGTCAGACCTCTCTTACTGACTCGATCCCCTGTGCGGCGCAGCGAAGGAAAAGCAAATAAAAGGTTGCTTAGGTTGGGTCCGTTTGTTCTTCGTTCGTTTGAAAGACAGGAGTTTCAACTTTGCTTACGTCTACATCAATGAGGCGCGCTTACGAGGTTTGCGAGATGCAAAATGCAAAAAGCGAGTCGAAATGGGCTTTGATGCGTGGCTGTTCTTTTATGTTTCCAAACAAAAAGTGCCACACGCAAAATCTCCGAAGCGGAGGGTTTCGCGTCCCTTCGAGTTTCGTCAACTTCCGAAAGATGCGTTTATTTGCTACGACGACGGGAAACATTCGACTCTTGGTTTAATAGTCTCATCTTTACGGTCAATTTTCTCCGTCGGGTGAGTATGTACAGGATGATGAATAATTCATATGCACAAAATGGTTGATTTTGAATAGAGCAATTTCCTTGCCAGACTGTGGATACGGACGGATATACGGTCGGAATTGAAAGGGCTTCAAAATTGTGCTCGGGTCATCTGCGGAGCGTGCTTTCCACGCACGAGTGGCTGTTCTGAAACTTGAACGTTCTCTGCGGTTTTCCCTATTTTATGGTGACTTGTAAAAATACAGATATTTATGAAGATGCCCGCTCGTTTCATTAGATGAAGCTAATAGGATCGACGCGGTACGAAGTTAGTTTTTCTACTCTTCAGACAAGTGAGAAAAATTATTTCTGCAGTAGGGTGAATTTGTGACAGTTAATGCTTGAATTGGACGTACTTCTGCCAAACGGAACTATGTGCATTAAGACTCATAAGGATACAGACATTACAGGGCTCACGTCATAATGCACATAGCGCCGTTCGGCAGAAATAGTCCAATTGTGGCTCGGAATCAGAACGATTGGAACCAAACACTGGAAAAAAAACACATTGGATCGAGAGTCCAGACTCTTGAAAACATTGACAAGAAAAAGGACTCTTGATTCAATTAGATTTAAGCTGAAATTAAAAACGAAATCCGCTCAAATTAAAAGGCTGGGTTCTAGATTTAAGCTTAAATCTGATTGAATCAAGAGTATCTTTTCTTGTCGATATTTTGAAGAGTCTAGACTCTAGATCCAATGTGTTTTTTTTTTTTTTTTTTCCAGAGAACGATTCCATGTCATCGTTATTTCTTGGAGTTCATGGAAGGCAAAATGTATTTTGCATCTTCCCTCGCAAACTTTTTTCAGTCTCATGAGTCCTGTTTGGATTGATACTCTCTGTGCTTCAATGGTGCAACTAGTTAGAAATTTCTTCGAGGACACGGTTAATCTCAAAAGAGACAATGTCAGAGTGTTTACTAAAACAGGCAGTTATCAGTACTTTTACATTACTTTTTCAGTGCATTCCTAGGAAATTCGTTAGTTCCTCAACAGAAAAATTCAGTACTTTTACAGTACCTCCATTTGACGAAATTCGAAAATTTTCGAAAATATGAACTTCTCGCTCAAATTGCGACAATGATGACAAAAATTCCCGACCCTCTTGCAGAATTTCCGCACTTCTTCAGTACCTACTTCCGAGCCGTCTTTAAACAATCAGTACTATTTCCGGCAATTCTGGACTCGTAAACACCCTGAACGTGTATATAAATCGCTATAGAGATCTTTTAGACTATGCGTTTTCCTCAGTTTTAGCCCATTTGGACCACCCAGAGTGCAATTTTAGCCAAATTCGTTTTATTCATTCGGATGCAGCTAAAGAAGTAACGCTCAGTTGTCCTGTTATTGTAATTCGTCGAACGTGGGTTTATGCCCTTTCAATCCTACAAGCTGCTTACACAAGCATTATGCGTAGGACAGGGGTGGAAGGGGAGGAGGAATGCATTTCTAGAGATTCGATTTAATAGTTTTTTCCCGACTCTCCGACCTAAAAGTGGGTATTTTCGAGTATTGGAATAAGAAAACACGGTCCAGCGATTAGCAATCCAATTCGCAGTTTCCCTCGCGAAAGAACGGAACTTCATTTCAATGTTGCCAAATTTCCCATCGTTTATTGCATATTAACGAGGAGAATCTTGGGAATTTTCAACTGATAATTTTACTGATTTTTCTCCACATTTCATGAAATAATCAGACATTTTTTTGATAAAAATTAGACACGTACATTTTGGTCAAATAAATAAATTCTTTGAGTCAATCTGGCAACCTTGGAATGGAGTTACGTTCCCTCGTCCGGAAGACGAAGTGACGCCTTCACGGCCCACGATTTTCCCTTCAGCGTGTTGATTCATTCGTATTTCAGCTACGGGAATGCAAAAATCCTGAAGTTAAAACTTCAGCAATCGCGCCAAAACAATGAAATCTGCCGATGGATCTGGGAAACGCACGTTACGGCGGCGCGCTGCCGCGATTTAAAAAAATCCTATTATCAGGGGTAAATTTACATTTTGTTCGGAATTCTGCGAAAACGAATTTGAGCGGAAATCAAACCTAACTCACTTTCCGCGTACCGCTATTTGGGTCAGCACCCGCACAGTAAACCTTGGGTTTGCTTTACTAGTTAGAGAGTTTTACCGTCGATATTTCTTTTACGCACAATCAAGACTAAGAGTGAAGAAGAATTAATACTTGTTTACTTTACTGAAGGACTCAGAGTTATGAATATTCAGTAAAAACCGACGGAGGGGCCTACTTATAAAATCTTTTCTTTAAAAAAAAAAAAAAAAAAAAAAAAAAAAAAAAAAAAAAAATAATAATAATAATAATAATAATAAAATATATAAATTAATAAATAAATTAATAAATAAATAAATACATAAAAACTGAAGCAAAAGAACCCTTCAAAAATGGAATCGATAAGGAGCACTGGAAAAAAAAACACATTGGATCTAGAGTCCAGACTATTGAAAACATCGGCAAGAAAAAGTACTCTTGATTCAATTAGAATTTAGCTTAAATCAAGAACCAAGCCTCTTAATTTAGGCGGATTCCGTTTTGATTCAAGCAAAAATCCGATTGAATCAAGAGTATTTTTTCTTGTCGATGATTTCAAGAGTTTGGACTCCAGATCCAATGTGTTTTTTTTTAGTGAGGTCAGAAATTTTGGCGCCCCTTTGAATGGCGGCTGGGGGCCCACACGAGTGAGTACTTCTAGTGCCTCTTACGACAAGCCTGGCCAATTTTTGTTGAAATTTTAGCGATAATCAGCTATCGTAGCGTAAAAACCTATAGAATATCGTTAAATAAGGTCCGTCTGAACAGAATTGACGTCCCTTTCTTACTGTTAGACTACAGTCTGACTGAGCTTATTCAACGTAGGTCGTAAGTGAATATGGAATCACACCTGTTGCCAATTATCCTCGAGTGTGTTCTGGACGCAGAAATATCCTGTGTCGTGTATGTCCTGTAGCTCTCGGAGTACATTGGTGTGAGGTAACATATCCATCTTGATTCCGGTAGTGAAACACACGTGGTAACAACAGCGAAAAAAAATTCAAAATTTACTAGAGGGCGGACAGGCGTTTGCTTATGCTTCCTCGAGCATTTCAGTTTAACGCACGGAAAATGGTACGAAATAATAATTACTTAACACCGAACTTCAAGCATCAGAGTTGCATACGAAAGGGCAATACCAAAATTAAACCAAGCGCACAACCGTATCGAGTAAGCAGTACACAGCTTTCAAGGCTTTCGAAAGGATACGACTGGTTTCGCGGACACTCCCTCCAGATTCCGGTCGAACTTCTCTGAAAATCACTCAAAATTCAACACACTTCGGTTTGATTTCGTAACACAGTGGTGAAAGCACCGATGCTAGAGCTGAAGGAATTGATTCTATTCACTACAACGAAAAAAAACAATAAAAACGAAAAGAAATAGAATATAGCCGAAATAAAAAAAAATGCCGATCCACACTAGAAACTTATGGGGGATTTCCTCAAGAAGCGAATGTATTGATAATCATCGTGACAGCAGGAGTAGGTAGAATAACTTGTGGAAACACATGTGAGAACACGGCCGAACCCGCACACAAGTCAACGAGGAATCGAGCCGCCTCTTCGAGAGCAAAAACGTGCGCGGACAATAGCGACTAGGCTCGCGAAGCGCCGACAATCCGGATTAGCGAAGAAGTGTCGACGCCAGTGATAAGCGAGAATTCCATAAGGATGCAGTGATAAGGCGGCTCTGCGGTCGCGGTTCACCCCGTACGAGAGCGCGCGCGGATCGAGCGAGACTGGCGTCGCGGCGCCGGTTGCGCCGCGCTCTCGTGCCGGCCGAGCGCGGTTCCCGCCGTCTGCCCCCAGGGCGCGCCACTGCCCGGCCGCCACGTTTGCGTAATGGGCGGTGCGCGCTCCTGCCATTCATACTCATCGGTGCCGATGAATGAAGCTAATTAAAATACTACGATTTCCGTCGACCTCTGCACGGCGCGTTGCGGCGTTGCCATCCTGCCCGGGCCGCCTCGCGCTCTCTCCCGCGCCCCCGCGGTGAGTCTGAGAATCAAAGGCTGGGAAAATTGGCCTCGTAGCGTAAGAACGGAAAATTGTATTCTATATCCCTCCCTAAATTTTCAAAGATTATCTAGAAGCATTTTAATGTGATACGTCACGGTTCCTGGCGCGGTCGAATTGACGTGCGACATATCGAATCAGTCATATAAAAAATCTAGTCAGATTCTGAATTTTTTTTAAAAAAAAAATGGACGATAGCCCTGCACTGAAAAAAAAGTAGCTTGGATCAAGCATGATGATTCTTGAATTTGCCGCCAAGAAAAATTTTTTTCTTCCTTTAAGCCGATTTTTTCTTGATACAAGAAAAAGAATGCTTGGGTTAAGCAAAAAAGTAACTTATATTAACCAGAAAAATTCTTGATTTGAGAAGAAATACTTCTTGGCGGCAAATTTAAGATTCTTTTTTTTTCCAGTGTGTGCATGGGCCTCTAGAATCATCCAATACAAAAAAAATCGGCAATATTCAGAGGAAGAGAGGCGGATTGCGACTTGGAAAAAAAGCTCGCATTCGATATAGGAATCGATAACTGTGTTAAATGCAATGTTTCCTGTCTCATGAGGTTGATCGATAGAAAACATTGCCAAAATAGAGATTGATCGATCAGAATTATTCTATAACGATTTAAAAATCAACCCGCGGGGCCTGGATTTGCACAGGATTGCAACAGGAATTGCATATCGACGGTGCAAGTCGGCAATCACATGACTCGTTTGCGGTGTCTGAAAATCTCCGCAACTATGTAATTTTTTTAAAGGAGAACGAATGGACATGATTCCTTAAAGTTTTTGCAGAATTTTCCTCGCACATAGAAGAAAATCACGGAAGTTTTAAAGAATTACCGTTGAGTAGTTTTCCGTTTAAAAAATAAAGTATGACAGGAGGTCTGCGACGTCGCAAACCGAGTTATGTGATTGCCGACTTTCACCGTCGATATAGTCATATTCTCAAAAAAAAAAAAAAATTGAACTTTTCTATCAATTTTGTAACCTTAAAATAATGCTTTGTTACCTTCCGGGGAAACGACGCCTTTTTGGCGCGCTTGCAACTCCGTCACGACTCCGTTTTTTCGCGATCATAACAAACGTTGCCGTTTCAGCAAGATGTAAATTAGATCGAGGGAAACTTGATTTTAAAAATCCGGTCGTTGCGTTGAGACGGCATCGTTGGCGTAGTTTCAGGGACAATTGCAGGGATTTTTCCCACCGGTCTCGACGCGCTCCACCGATTTTCCCCGCGCGCACTCGGTGGCGCGTCGCGAATAATCGATCATCGATATTTCCCCATTTGAAACTATAGTAAAGAATCGAATATTGAGGCGTTCGTTGCGGACACCCCCTCTATCGATCCTTGTCCGAAGGTTTAAACGGCAGATTAATCGATAAATCGCAAAGCACGCCGCGCCGCCGCGCGCACTGTGCCAGTCCCACGCGAATTATATAATTATTATTCGAACGTTTTGATGTGTGTGCGCTGTCGCATCCGGTGTTTGTCGCTTGAGGATGGGTGGAGGGGGCGAGGGGGGCGAGATCCCCCAGGAACGAAGACAATTCCGAGGGTCTCCCGTTATCTCTTTGTTTGAGTCTGCCTCAAATTGCGGCCGGTGTGTGAGAGTGAATCCGGTGTGTGAGTGTGAACCCGCTGCCCAGTTCAAGGGGTTTCAATTATGTCTGACGCTTTTGTTTTCGGCCCGATGACCAGGGTCCGGTGATCGGTGGCATGGCTGCCCGCTGCCACCGGTGCGCTCTGCATCACTGCTCTGGTGCCTCGGCCCAGACAGAACCGCACCTTGCGTCGCCGTTGACACATCGAATCTAAAACTTTAAGATCTGTCTAGAGCTAGAGTCCCTTTATACTGAGAGTCAAGACAATTCGGCTCATGGATGTCACAAACGGGAATAAAGATTACAGAAATTGAACGTTTTTCGTAATCTTTGATCGGCCCATTCTCAAATGCCTCTCTCCGTTCCTCCTCTCATTCCGTTTGTTCCTTGCCGAACCCGTAATTCCCTGGTCCATTCCAGATTATAATCTTTGCAATTGGTGAAAATGTAATCTTTATTCCCGTTTGTGACACTGTGGAGGCCTAAAATACGGGAACCAATCAGAAATGGATTCAAATTGTCTTGACTCTCAGTATAAAGGGACTCCTATAGAGAATCTCTATAGGGAGAGTATGGCCGCTCGGCCCCATGCAGGGGCTTAGGACCCAAAAATGGCGGCGCTTTGATTCGGTTTTTAAGGATGGGAAGGGGGAGGGGGGTCATTGCTAACTTTTGACAGTTATCAGTTGGTGGAATCGCATAGAAATCAAACTGAGCGCATCAGAAATGTCTAGAATCCACTTCTCACTGCACATTTTGCATATCCTTATCGTGCATTTCCTAACTGGCAACTACATGTGAATTTTCCCTGATGGATTGGGTCGACTTTTTCAACCAGATCAGTTGGGTTGTAAAAAAAAGAGAAAACACTCGATTGAAGTCAAAAACGATTGCACGATGAATATTGGCCAAAATTTACATCCATCCACTTTTCAACCCGAGCGGTGGTGGGTTAAGAGTTTTGGATGTGGTCGTCAACGCTGCCAGCATTTAACCCAAAATTAGTAGGCACATTAATAGTAGTACGTCATCAGGAAGGAATTTCATTTTGTTGTGACATAGGTTGGCAGTGAGTTAAAACCTTTAACCAAATCCACTCGCAAAAATTCGCCTTAAGCTCGAACGCCGCGCCATGGCGTTCGAGCGTTTCGGCTAAATGATTCTATCTGCCAAGCCAAGGCACTTTACAAAATACCTAATTTTACCATTCGCCTATGCGATATCTCTAAGAAGAAACCAATACTTATTTCAATGGACTCTCTGCGAGCGACTACGACTTACGTTGTAGCCCCGTCCCTCGGGTTTATCAGGAGCCATTAAGCCACGGTTCCAAGGACAGCGCAAGACGCGAGATTGGCCGCGCGGTAGTTTCGCGGAGCCATGATTTTAAACCATGGTGTCTAGTTTTCTTGGCAAAGCTCATTCCTTGATTTTCCTTGATTTTCAGGAGCTCATTCCCTGATGAGAAACCGAAGTTTTCTCCCACTTCCCCGGGATTTTCTCAGGGGAAAAAATATAATTTTCCAGAGTTTTAGATATGAATATCGATTTAAATTAATCTTACAGCCATTTCTTTGGCGCACGTCAGATTAGACCGCCAAATTTGAAAACGAAATGATCCTTTGGTGGTTGGAGAAGAGATTAACGGTTTCTGGAACAAATTCCCTGATTTTTCTCTGATTTTCCCGGTAAATTTTCATTCCCTGATGAGTCCCGGTGTTTCCCGGTTTTTAAAAAACTAGACACCGTGTTTTAAACAAACCTATTGCCGATGAAAATGAATTCGCGTTGCCAACGAAAATGAACACGCATTGTCAATGAAAATGAATTCGCGTTGCCAATGAAAATGCATTCGTGCTGCCGATGAAAAACGCATTTGGGTTGCCGATGAAAAAGGCATTTGCAGGGTCGATGTCTTGAAGATGGTCTGGTTCAAACTCATTCCACTCGCGCGGAGTCAACTTCGCGTCGCGCGCTGGCTGTGGAACCGCGGCTTGACTCGGAAGATCCGAGCGGAGACGTCAAAGCACCGATAAGATACGTCTCACGTGAAGAGAGCCTTGAGCTTGTGTTCGAGTTTGTCGATTTTATGACACAGGATTGCCCCACGATTACACGGATTAACGACCCTCAAACAAGGCTTTCCTTCCGACCCATTTCTTGGTGCCGTCTCTGTGTCGCTCTGCCTCGCTGCGTGCTGAGGTAAAACGCCGCATCAACACCAGCGGGCCGATTATTGAAATTGATAGACAAAACTATAGACAAAGAAGACTTAAGGAGTGTGGAGCGATCCCATTGGTTAAAATGGGTGGTTGCAATGGACAAAGGAGGTAAATAACAGACTGACTATCGGCAACCGACAGGGGACCCTACAGTAGTCCATATTTTTCCTTTTAGTCTATCGTGACCACCCGTCTTAACCAATGGGATCGCTTCATACTCCCTATTTCTCCTATATCTATCGCTACGTCTATCAATTTCAATAATCAGCCCGCAGAGCATTAGACAACTTTCTCTCGTGAAACATCAACTACGGACTATAACAACATGGACTATATTTTGCAATAAGGGACCATTCATCCGGCGCTTTCATAAAACCACATATATGCGAAGGAAAATCAAAATGGGGGAGGAGGAAAAAGAGGAAGAACAGAAAGAGAGGGAGGAAAAAGAGATAGAGGGAGAGAAAGAAGAAAAGAAGCGGAAAGGGAAACGGAAGAAGAGAAAGAAGAGTGTAGGGAAAAATAGGGACAAGACGAATGTAAGAGGAATTGAAAGAAAAATAAGAAGATAAGAATAAATGAGGAAAAGGGCATGGAAAAAGAGGTCAACCGTTTTAATCCGGCGATTAAATCGTCGCTTGGCTGACATAAAGGCGTAACTATGCATTGCGATGAGCCCGGAAAAACACTAATTGTATAGAGGACAGGGTTCATTGCAGAGTGTAGTTATGCCCTCATGTCAGGTAGGCGACAAATCAATGCATTTTCCGGAGAATTGATAATGTGGTTGTGAAAATCAGTAATGGTTTAATTACTTGATCGGCACAATAGCCAACGCTGGAATTAAGTTAAGGTGTAATAGAAATAATCGAAGCTTCAGTTAGTGTCGCATCAGATGGATACGAAACG